TCCGCTCCCAGAGACAGAAGAATGGCAGAAAGACGGGTGTTAGCGGGGTTGCACAGCTCACATCTGCCTGACGGTTGGTCGTGTTTATCCTGAACTCACTCCCGTTCCTCTTCTAACATTTCTTCCCCAGAACCCTTTCAGCTCCCTCTGTGGGGAGTGAACAAAGACCTGGCGCGCTCTCACCCGCACTTTCTGCATCAGCAGCCGCCCCGGGAGGCCCCTCGAGCTCCGCGGGGCGAGGGCGTCACTGACTGTGACCGGGAGCGAGCCGCTTCGCCCAGACCCTGCCACCAGTTACGTGAGCAGAGCTTTGACTTTAGCAGGACACGGACCATGCACGACCACAGTGAAACCACGTAAGGCACTAAAGGAAGTCTGGAAAGCAAATCCCCATCAGCTGACTTGTTGTATTTACTACCTCAGGACCGAGCCCAAACCAAAGACGCTTGTACGTGTGGTGTCGGCAGTTACCGGCTGACTACCCCGTCGCTCCCGGGGAGGAGGGGGCACGTGCCCTTTTCCTGGGATTTCTGTGTATCAGAAAATGTACGGCAGAGCACGTGGACTCGCGTGATCCCCAGGAATAGCGTTAAACCGTGGGTTCCCTGATGCTGGAAGCAGCCGTCGTGTCGCTGCGTGCTGTGGGAATGGCAGCGGGCGCGGCTGTTCCGTGCTGCATTGGCTGCTCGAGCGCCAACGTAGGGGCCTCCTCGGGACGCCCCAGGACTGGTGAGCGCCAAGCACCCGGCCAGCCCTGTGCTCCTTAGGCTTCCTGCAGTTGCCAGCCTAACTTTGGGGCTGGTTTGCCCCTAGGAATAACGGACTCTCATTGTAAATAGGTTTGCATTTATAAATATTTTGTATACACTGAGCGTATGAATGTGTTGGCTGCCATGTAAATATATATTTTATTATGCCAAACATGTATGGCACTGTGAGTCTCCACAGCTGCGTGTCAAGCCGTGAGGGGTTTCTCTGACAGCTGGTTTCCCAGAGGACAGAGCTGGCTTTGCTTTGGGAAGGCGTGGATTTGCGGTAGGTGAGTGGTGACACCGCGATGCCGTTCCTTGTCCCGTACAGCGCTCTGCAGGAAGCCTGGCTGCCCTGGCTACGAGCTGACCCCTTGCCTGACATCAGCCCAACTCCCACTTCGATGCTCTAAGTGTTGGGGGTCCCTAAACCTGTGTGTTGGGCACCCGCCGTCCCCGGGCGTGTGTCAGGCTCGGCGCGCCCTGCGGTAGCGCGCAGGGCTCCCATGTTCCCGGAGCGTCCAGCTTCCCACCGATCCTTGCGGACAGTGAGCTTTTGAGTGCCACGGGGAGGGCGCACGATAAATACGCAGAGAACCGTGCCGTGGGTTTGGCTTCCCCGGCACAGCCAAGAGGCACGTGTCTGTGGTCCTGGTCTGGCCTCAAGTGTCAGCCCTGCGCCTTTGAAAACTTCCGCTGAGGCCTGGCGCTGGCGAGAGCGAGAAACTGGGTCGCCGCGGGGAGGAGAAAACCAAACCCGCTGCGTCTGCCCTCGGGCTTCACTGCTGACTGAGCTTTCGGGGCAGATCCTCCCCTTCCCGGCTTTAATGCTTCAGTGCTTTAAAATGCTGGACACCACGAAACCACCGGCCAGGTTCTCCCCTCCTCCCCTCCCGCAGCAGTTTGCGGCCTCTGCGGATGCTGGGAGCCTGGGCACCGGTGTGAAGGGGGTGGGCGTCCTGG